TTTTTTTTTTGTAATGAGTAATCTGTCAGTGTCTTCATTGTGAAAATTTAACATTAGTGGAATGGATCATATGATATATGAAAAATAGGAGTAATTCTGTGGTATTTATTGTTCTTCATATGTTTTATTTCAAGTGATGACAGCTTATGGCAGCCTTCATCTATTTTAAAGTTTTCTGCAAATACCATTTTAGACTGTAATGCAAATAAAAAATTCGATCAAATTTATGAACATAAGGTGGTAAAATGCCGTAAATATGTACTATTCTCTTATATATCTGTTCATAAAAATTAAAACAAAATAAAATTCTCATCTTGTTTTTTTTTTTTTTGGTTAGTACTTCCTTTATTCCAACATTTTCAATAGGCCAGTCTGCTTTTTGTTGTAATTGGAGAACTTGAAGATTTTGAGGTAAATTTGGCAAAACTAGTATTTTTGCTCACTGGCAACATGATATATATAATCAAATAGAAGCTAACTTACACCTTAATATGGCATATACAGTGATTCGGATTTATAATAACATTTCCATAGGCTATGCAATACAGTATAGTTGAATTCTTAAACAACCCAAAACTAAGGGGAACTGATGCAAAAGTTAACAATAGCACTGAATTATATTGTCAATACATACAAAAGAATTATGAATTCCTATCTTAATGGTGAAGATGGCAAGCTGATTAATACTGGAGCCAAGCACTACTGTAATGGATGGAAAGCACTACAGAGGGGGAATGTTTGAGGTGAAGTTACCTGCAGTGATTTCTAGTAGGCATGGAGATCATTGCTGTGAGCTAACTTTCTCATGTTGGGCATTTTCTATAACGACTATTAACGGATCCAATAATGAAATCCAGAAACTATGTGATTGTTCTGGGGCTAATTTTCTAGTTTCTTATTGTGGTTCTTGCATTTTTTATTATTTATTTAATTCATAATTATACAAAATTTGTGATTCCTCCTCATGTTGTTTTACTTCAGATTTTGTGCAAGGACACTGGTCTTTTAAATTGAATATGGCTACTGAATGCAGTTTCTTGCCTTTCAAATTGAGGCCATCGGGGAGGTTATGATAATGGAAAAGACAATGTTATGTTCACTTTTAAAGTTGACTTTTAACTGGGCACAGATTTCGGAAGAAGCTCTAAATAAGCAACAACTATTGTGCCTATGATATTGTGTTTTACAGTCATTGATCTGATTTTTTTATTTTTTATTTTTTATTTTTTTTTTGGGGTTTTGGTTTCTGGCCTATTGTAACCTGAGGATCCTCTTCTGCTATCCTTACAGTGAAAATGCCTTCTGTATAAGCACTGAAGTGTATAAATCCAGCAACGAGAGGCCTTGTACAAGTTTGTTAATAAACGTTTCACTATTATGAGTACTGTGGGTATCCAACTTAATCAAAGTGCTTCTCTATTCTCCTTTAGCTGACTTCTTATCTCCCTATTATATTGGTAAATGCAAATTGCTTTTTACTGCAGTGTAACTATCATGATCTGAAATTGTGAAATAACTTCTATTATTCTACACTTGACATTGTCACATTGAGGTCTTATAATTCCTTTTAAAATTGCTTATTTACCTTGTCTCAGGCTTGATATTCCATTCCAGAAATAGATGAAGTTTGGCAAGGTGATATGAGAAAATAAACAAAATGACATGATCCGATTCTCAAAGAGAAAACATATAACTTAATACAACGAACACAACGAATAGATTACAACACAAAGTGAACCAAACTACTGCAAGCCGATGAAATGAAAGACAATGGCAGCACACAACAATGCAATCATATGCCGAAGTTAAACGACAAAGCAGTCGGATGATGACGTGGCACAAACTAGTTCGAAGGCGGTGATGAGAGGAAAGGAAGAGAGGGAATTGTAGTCGGGAGGTTCGGGAAAGAAGGCATAGTAGGCAGTGAGGCTGCTAGCTGTGGAGGCAGAGCCATCTTTGGAATGGTGGTAGGAAGTGTCGGCAATGATGGCAACTGTGGAAGGGATGGATTTGTTGGTAGTGTAGGCAATGGGATGGTGGGCAGCGGCAGTGTGGGCTTAGGCAGTGAAGGGATTGTGGGCTGTGCCGGTTGAGAAGTTTGCAACAGTTTGCGGGCCCCCCAGCTGGCGTGGAGGTTCGAGATTGATATTACCATGAGTAAAGGTAAGACAAGGTAAGACTTTGAGGCTGCCATTTAATTGGTAAATCTGTGGGTTAGGATAACTCCCCTTTTTTTGTTTTCTTTTCCTTGGCTTATGGAATCTGGTGTTTGATGTTGAATGACAATTCCGGTGGCATATTTATAGGGATGAAACTGATGAGAAGTGTTCCGGATTTTGCTTGGATGTAATTGTAAAGTATTAATTAGGTTAACTTCCTTTTGACCAAGTAGATTTATTTAGAACCCTTTTTTTTTTTTTTTGCTTGGTGTGCCCTGATAAAGTTATTAGTTAGATAAGAGGCCAACTATCTTCTGAAAACTTAGGGTGATTTAGGATTTTAGTTGTAACAAGAAAGTGTAGCTGGCTTTCTGAGGAGATGAACTCTGCTAGATTATTATTACTAAATTTTTTTTTTTTTGGATTCAGCTGCATGTGGCATGATTTAGTTCAATCTGAACTTTACATGAGATTGATCTTCTGAAAATGCGATAGAAGATAAGTCTCTCATCGAACTTGATTTAAAATTTTAAGACAAAAACTTTATATATAGCTAAACTAGTCAATTCGATTCGTATGATACTCCTATTGCATCAATCGTTTATGGTATTCCAGGAATATTCGTTATGTATATTCTTCGCGAATGAACGGATTTAGCCTCTTTGAGGCAAGGATCTAAAGATGTGCTTTTTTTGTTTTTGGTAATGAGTAATCTGTTAGTGTCTTCATTGTGAAACTTTAACATTAGTAGAATGGATCGTATGATACATGAAAAATAAGAGTAATTCTGTGGTATTTAATGTTCTTCATACGTTTTATTTGAAGTGATGACAGCTTATGGCAGCCTTCCTCGAATTTAAAGTCTTCTGCAAAATATGTTCATCCTCTTATATATCTGTTCATAAATATATATATATATATGTATATATATATATATATATATATATATATATACTCATCATTTCATGTTTGATTTTCACTGACAACTCATTTTCTTGTTTTGCTTTTTTGGTTAGTACTTCTTTTGTTCAGACATTTTCAATAGGCCAGTCTGCCTTTTGTTGTAATTGGAGAAGAACTTGAAGATGTTTGAGGCAAATTTGACCAAAACTAGTATTTTTGCTCACTGGTAAGACTAGATATAATCATATAGAAGCTAATTTACACCTTAATATGGCATATGCAGGGATTCAGATTGCAATAATATTTCCCTAGACTATGCAATACATAATAACTGAATTCTTAAACCCAAAACTAAGGGGAACTAATGCGAAAGTTAACAGTAGCACTTAATTATATTGGCAATGCATTCAAAACAATTATGAATCCTATCTTAATGGGGAAGATGACAAGCTGATTAGTACCGGTGCCAAGCACTACTGTATGGATGGAAATCGCTATAGACGGAATGTTTGAGGTGAAGTGACCTGCAGTGATTTCTGGTATGGGCAGGCATGGAGATCAGTGCTGTGAGCTAACTTTCTCATTATTTTTTTTATTATTTATTTGGTAATATGTTGCATAATTTTTTCAATTAATCCTTTTTTATTATAATGCATACAGTCGGAACATGTTGGGCATTTTCTGTAACAACTTTAACGAAGCCAATAGTGAGATCCCGAAGTTGTGACTGTTCTGGGGGCTAATTACCTAGTTTCTTAATTTGGTTCTTGCACTTTCCATTACTTATTTGATTCAGCCTTATACAAAATTTGTGAATCTTACTCGTGTTGTTTTACTTTAGAATTTTGTGCAAGGAAACTGGTCTTTTAAATTGAATATGGTTATTGAATGCAGTTTCATGCCTTTCAAATTGAAGCCATCAGGGAGGTCGTGATAGAGGAAAAGACAATGTATTTTGTTGACTTTTAACTGGGCACAGATTTTGGAATAAACTCTTAAATAGGCAACTATTGTGCCCGTGATATCGTTAGTCTTTGATCTGAAGTTTTTTTGTTTGTGTTTGGGATTTTGGTTTCTGGCCTATTGTTACCTGAAGATGGATCTTTTTCTGCTATACTTGCAGTGGAAATACATTCTGTATAAGCACTGAAGTGTATTAATCGAGTAATAAGGGGCCTTGTACAAGTTTGTTAATAAATATTTCATTATATGAGTACTGTGGGTATCCAACTTAATCAGAGTGCTTTTCTCTACTGTCCTTTATCTGATTTCTTTATCTCCCTATTATATTGGTAAATTCAAATTGCTGTTTACTGCACTATAACCTATCATGATTTGAAATTGTGAAATAACTTTCTATTATTCTACACTTCACACTGAGGTCTTGTAATTACTATTTAATAGCTTATTTACCGTGTCTCAGGCTTGATATTCCAGCAACAGATGAAGTTGGGCAAGGTGATATGAGAAAATAAACAAATAGCATGATCCGATTCGCAAAGAGAAACCATATAAACTTAATACAACGTACACAACGATGCAAAGATTACAACACAAAGTGAACCAACCCTGGATCAGTTCGAAGGGAGCCGAACTACTGCAAGATCCGATGAAACACAACACCAGCACACAACTATGCAATCATAAAATACAATCATATGCCAAAGTTAAGCGACAAAGCAGTCGGATGATGACGTGGCACAAACTAGTTCGAAGGAGGTGATGAGAGGAAAGGAAGAGAGGGAATTGTAGTCGGGAGGTTCGGGAAAGAAGGCATAGTAGGCAGTGAGGCTGCTAGCTGTGGAGGCAGAGCCATCTTTGGAATGGCGGTAGGAAGTGTCGGCAATGTTGGCAACTGTGGAAGGGATGGATTTGTTGGTAGTGTAGGCAATGGGATGGTGGGCAGTGGCAGTGTGGGCTTAGGCAGTGAAGGGATTGTGGGCTGCGCCGGTTGAGATGTTTGCAACAGGTTGCGGGCCCCCCAGCTGGCGTGAAGGTTCGAGACTGATATCACCATGAGTAAAGGTAAAATAAGGTAAGACTTTGAGGCTGCCATTTGAATCTGGTGTTTGATGTCGAATGGCAATTCTGGTTGCATTTTTATAGGGATGAAACTGATGAGGAGTGTTGTGGATTTTGCTTGGATGTAATTGGAAAGTATTAATTAGGTTAACTTCCCTTTGACCAAGTAGATTTATTTAGAACCTTGTTTTTTGCTTGGTGTGCCTTGATCAAGGTTAGATGGATAAGAGGCCAACTATCTTCTGAAAAGTTATGGTGATTTAGGATTTTAGGTGTAACAAGAAAATGCAGCTGGTCTTATGAGAAGGTGAACTCTGCAAGACTATTATTATTTATTTGTTTTGGGATTCAGTAGCATGTGGCACGATTTTTATTACATCAGTATACATTTTTATTATGAAGTTATGCAGGCCGACCTACTTTGTTATGAAGGTACGCAAGCCGACCTGCATAACGATTAGACCGCGTTACACAAAATTTTGTGTATCATCAAACGCCGGTCAACTACAGCTTACAAGTATGTTAACTAGAAGAATGAACTAATGCATAAGAATTAAGAGAAATATTTAGGTAACTGAAAAATTTGGAACATACGAAGTTGTAGCGGCATTGTACCTTTAGACCCAGAATACCGTGAAACCAGCAGATTATGTAAATTGCGCATGACATTGCCATAAAATTGCAAAATTATGTTCATTGAAGGATATGAATTTCAGAGTTGAACATTGTAGATAGACAAAACTCAAATCATGAGATAAGGTTCAAATCCATTATGTAATAAAAACAGAAGACACACTTAGAATATGCAGGTAATAAATCCAACTGCTTTTATGGAGGTTGAAGAAGCTCAAGAATGCCACAGTACCATTTCTAGTTTAGCTTGCTGCCACAAACCTGCTTGCAAGTTCTAAAACTCCAATGCAAATGTATTGACCAAAATCATCTATTATGCAAAACATTGTCTAGTTTATGATATAAAGTAAAAAACATAATAATAAAAGATGATATAGCTGAATGTGGTTCTCTGCATAGACGATGAAGGTGCAAAACAAGGCTGCATCCTTGAGAAGTAACACCCTAGAGCCAATGTATATAAACCATCACACTTACCAGTTACGCTGAGAAGTGGACAGACAACGTTCATATAATGCCAGCTATAGGGTATCATCTTTGAAAATGGGAATTTTGGATTAGATAAATTAATCATTCAAGGTAACTAGGAATCACAGTTCCAAATTCTCCCCCCAAAAAAGTGGGGAAATAGAAGACATAGAAAGCACATTGATTAATCCTGCACCAGAAGGTCGAAACATGCCAGACAAAATGCAGTAGTGACACGAGTTCAAGAAAATCATAAAAATGGAAAATAATAGCATGACTTTTTGCAATTGCCTCAAAAACATTGAGCAACTTTTTGATTGACAATAAAACCAAACTCAAGTGAGAGCTACACTAGAACACTGATATCACTCTATTCTGTTTACAAAAAAACAACAATGAACAAAAAGGAAGCAGCCTACCCCAGCCATGCTCAGTCCCTAATCAACATATGAATCAAATCTGAAAACATTTACCATATAATCCGCAATTTGCTAAACATTTGAAAGCTCACGCTCCTTATCACTCAAGTCGAAATCACACTGCAGACCAAGCAACACATCATCATCCCCCTCGAAAAGCCCCACCCCACTCGCAATCACAACATCATTGCTCACTTCACCTTCAACCCCAAGCTCCAACTCCTCTTCACTGTTTTCAACCACATTCGAATCCCCAGTTTCACCAGATCCATAAATCAAGTTAGCCTGATTTTCATCAATCCCAACTCCTCTTCCCATCAGCTTCTTCGAGTTCCACAGCACAGATTTCTTCCTCCTCGTTCTCCCCTCCTTCACACCACTCTCCATGAACCCAATCTCATTCCCACTCATAAACCTTTCACCGTTTAAATCTTTCATTTCGCCATTTTCAAATTTCTCCCTTTCACCATGGTTGAGATCCATGAATTCTTTACCAACTGTTCCAACACCTTCAGTTCGCACCATCTCTTCATCATAAACATTAATCACAGCCCCTTCTCCATTACTAGCAGCATTTTGATCTCCCATCTTACTACTCGACCCTACTGCCCGAGCCTCAAATGGGGCCCATAATTTCTCCACGACTTTCCCACCACCACCACCACCAGAAAACCCCAAAGGCACAAACCCTGTACACAAGTACTGGCCCTTCTCCACCACGTCTGGCGGCGGCGGGGGCCCACCGATAGCCACCGCGTGCATCACCCTTCTGCACTTCTCGTTCGAACACCTCACACAGCACTCCTTATAAACCCCCTCGAATTCGTACACGTAATAGCAATAAGGGCAAATCGTCCAGAACGTACCAGCATCATTCCCTGACGTACAATTGCCGAGTCGGCTGCCACCATCAGAAGCGGTACACAAGTACTGGCCCTTCTCCACCACGTCTGGCGGCGGCGGGGGGCCACTGATAGGCACCGCATGCATCACCCTTCTGCACTTCTCGTTCGAACACCTCACACAGCACTCCTTATAAACCCCCTCGAATTCGTACACGTAATAGCAATAAGGGCAAATCGTCCAGAACGTATCAGCATCATTCTCTGTCGTAGAATTGCCGTGTCGGCTGCCACCATCAGAAGCGGTACACAAGTACTGGCCCTTCTCCACCACGTCTGGCGGTGGCGGGGGCCCACTGATAGGCACCGCGTGCATCACCTTTCTGCACTTCTCGTTCGAACACCTCACACAGCACTCCATATAAACCCCCTCGAATTCGTACATGTAATAGCAATAAGGGCAAATCGTCCAGAACGTACCAGCATCATTCCCTGACGTACAATTGTCGTGTCGGCTGCCACCATCAGAAGCGGACAGGCTCGTCCTCAGCTCCTCGTCGAACCTGGCCCTCTCTTCAGGGTTAGACAACACTGACCACGCCGTCAGAATCAGTCGCAAGGCCTCGTCCGCGAACGGGTAGGAGTTCACTCTGGGGTTCAGATTGGAGGCTAGGGTTCTGAAACTGTCCCGGATACGAAAGTCGTTGGGCTCGAAATGCGGGAGGCTGAGGACGGCGTAGTAGTCGTGACGGGACGGGGATATGGCTGGGGCGGAGAGGACGGTGGCCACGGCGAGGATCGCGGTGGGGGCCGGGTGGGTCGTGTCGGAGTCGCGTGCGCGGAGGGCGTAGTTCCGGCAGTCGGAGAAGTTGCGGTCACGGAGGAAGTAATTGGCGGCGGCGAGGAGACGGTGGGTCGCCGGGCTGGTCTCGGCCTGACCCGGTGGCCAATGGTGCGTACCCATTTTTTGTGTGGAGAGGAAATATCTGCGTGAGTTGGGACAGTGGACAAAACCGGGAGCGTCGTACTATTTTGTTACTTGGCTGCAATTTTAATACATTATTCTTTATTTTGGTACCATCATTATTCTTTATATTACATTTATACATTCAATATATATTTATTTATAAGGCTACCAATTTATCATAATTATTTGCACATATACCAGATTTTTAGTTTTAATTAATATATATTGTAAACATGATAAAAGTAGGATTTTGTGGGATTATTTATAAGTTTGTTTCCAAAATAATTTTACACCTTATCTCATCTACTATCTCGATGCCTTCACCCAAGCCGCCGCTCGAGCTTTCTGAGGACGACATCGTCCATCCACCGCGAGGAAGGACTTCTTTATCATCGGCCCACTCTAACTCCGATTCGGCCTCATCCTCTTGAGCCATCCCCACGGCCATCACCTCCAAGTAGGCGACTCGAGAATCGTTCTCTATGGAGTCGATGAGAAAGACGAGGAATATCTTCCAGAGGACAATGTCATCAATTTTCACATGCATCCTCGACGTCGCCATGGTTGAGGAAGATGTTTGGTTGGTTGGTTGGTTGTAGGGAAATCTATGTTTGCTTCGATTTTTTAGGTTTTTGAACTGTGTGTAGATTATTCAGTACATTGAAAATCCCCAGACTTTGGATTGGATCAATATATGTACAGTCTATGTTCAATATATGTATAGTATATGTACAATTTTTCGTGAACATAAAATATACTGGTCAGAATCATAGCCGGTCGCTGTTGGTGGTGGAGTTTTCGAGTCGTCGGTATGCGGATAGTTTCCATATTAGATATCTGACTACAGAATAACATTAGATATCTGACTACAGAAGTAAAAGATAATAAAGAAAGCTTAACCAGCTAACCTGTACAAATTTCCACATTATATCTCTAGAATCTAAGTTAGTTTGTCTTTAGAAGATAAAAACTGAAGGAGGAAAAAAAAAAAAAAAAGCATAAAGGAACATAAACATCAAGAAATCAAATTGATAACTAATATCTATCAGCTCATTCACTCGAAAAATATAAATAGATAGTTCACAGTATAAACTAGACAAAATTTCAAGCTAATTGATCCAAATTATCTCAAAGGTAGATTAAAAAAATAAACACAAGAAAAGTACCTATGTTCGAGCTCATATATATAATTAGCATTAAAACTGAAAGCATAAACAAAAATTAAACTGTACATAATCTGAATTGATCATAGATCGAAAGATAATTTCTTTCGCTAAGACTTGATTATAATGACTCGGATTTGGTTATGATACATGAGTTTCTTTGTTCCTTATCTGTTTGGCTGAAGCATCTAGTTTAAGTCATTAGATTGATCAAATAACTATAAAGAGAAAATTATAAGGGTACGGAACTAGCGCAACACTGAAAATAACCAACTCTTAAGTGTAAACGAGTAGCGCAAAACTGAAAATAACCAACTCTAATTGTACACAAGTACATTTCACAATCAAATCTCGGTGCTCGAATCTTGATGAATTCGACTGCAAGAGATGACGAACATAATATCATATTAGTTCCTTGTCATTAAAAATGTTTTTTGTCACACTTTTCACGTTGTTTCTCATGCTTAGTCATTTTAGTTGCTTCAAATTTCTCCCAGGACACAAAATTTAATCTCTATTGTTGTTTGTTTTTTGATATATAAAAACAAGGATATCTTGATACCATAGCATATTTTGTGCACAAATATGATGCATGAACTCAAAAATTATAAAATAGCTCAAATCACAAAATTATCTTGCACACAAACTCAAAACTGGCAAACATAATTATCTTTCTTTTTACATCGTAAACACTATATAATTAAGTGCAGCAAATCAACAGTTTTCATCAGTATTCAATAGTTCATATGCTCCAATCACAAATAATCACCAAATCCAAGATTCGCCAAACTCACAAAAAAAAATGAGCAGATTGAACACAAATGCCGAGCCATTCTTCCCAGGTGCACAAACAGCACGACAAGAGCCCAATCAGCTGTTAGATAGCACAAGGGAAGAGAAGTCATTATTCATGACCTTCTCAATTGGGTCACCCCCAGTGTGGAGAGAAATCAGCCAGCATTTCAAAAAGTGAATATATTTCATTATATCTTATCACTTTATCTTTTTGTTTTTCAATCAAGCAAGTTAGTCGGCTAATGAATTAAAAAGAAAAAAAAAAAAATCTACGAAAATATATTTAATGCATGATAATATTTACTTGACTGACTTTGTTTTTTCTAATCGCTTGTATTGTGACAGTAAGTACGGGGACTGCGTGGAAAATGTGTATGTGCACGACCGACATAGTGTTGGTCGACCAAATAAAGAATTCGAGTTTGGAAGGATCCTCTTCACAGATGCAGAGGTGCCCAATATGATAATGGGCAATAATGAGAAGGTGAAGCTACGGGTTGGGGGCAAGCCTCTTTGGTTGAAGAGATATGTCGCTCAAGATCAACGGCCCAAACAATAACTAGAAATCGTTTCATTTTCTTTTTTTTATTTTTATATACATATGGCATAATTGAATGTTGTCTTTTTCTTTTCTTTTCTTTTCTTTTTATCTCGTTCATTTTTTGGGGTTGAGAACGTACATATATCAGGTGGTATGGGTATCTTGCGGTTTGAGAAGATGAAATGTTTGAGCACTCCGAATAAAGAGGTTACTCAATTTCCTTGCATTTAAAAATGCTTAAGTCTCATGTGCTATTATTGAAATGAGCCAAAGAATTTTAAGTTAAGAGCAAAAGCAAGAAATGCACAAAGAAAACTGAAACAATGGAGAATCCTATCCTATTGAACCAAATGGAGCGCAAAATTATGAATATGCATTTATTTCATTTGTAATACTTAAGGATGCTATGCATTTGCTGTCCACATATGCGCTCGACTTGCACCTCATGGATAAAAGCGACTGAATTACTAAAGATTTACGCAATGCATGCGCAAAACTTTCACATATGTCCAATGTAAATGCAAATAATTTGTAGGACTTCAACTTTTTTAGTTGAAACTTAAATGTGCACAGTTCAATATTTCATGACCTAATACTCTAAAAACTTAAATTGGGAGTATATAGGAAATATAGAAATGTTTGCAATGATATGTCCATCTATAACTGCATACCTTAAACTAGTTACATTCAGTTGACTACAAAATCTCCATGCATGTAAGCAGAATCTAAAAAAACTAAAAGTTGTCCGGGGACATGTGACATTATCATATATATAACATGGTCTCTTTTTACTTTTTCAAATGTTTTTTAGGTGGATTTTTTCCCACTTAAACACATATCAGTACCATAAATCAATTCACACGAGTATAATTCGGCGCATAAGTCAGTTCGTAATGATCTCCATGTCAATTTTACATGTCTAAGCAAAAATGACCTCGACATGTGCTAAAATTTAGGAATCTCTGATTAATGGCGTTTGGATGTTTTGTCTTTTCAGAAAATGCTATATTTCAAGAAGCCAAAGGTTGACGAACAAGGTTATTCGACTCACACTCGATCTTTCCTTTTTTTGTACTGTCGCTACGTACCTGATCCTCTGCATGAAAACAGGCACGTGGCCTCTCTGGGACTCTTGGAACTTCTTTCGAGCAGGTTCCAAAACCATATAAATCTTAGATAACATAAATTGAACCTGAAACATAAACATGTTTGTAAAAAAAATTAGAACAAGTCAGAGTTTCTTTTTTGGAAGATTATGTATTCATGCATATCCCAGAAAATTAAATCAACTATAAGACAGTTTATTTCTCTATGCTACAAACTCCAAACAGTGACAATTGAAAGGACTAAGGTAAACCATAGCGAAAATTTCCTTTTTAAGTAATTGGAGCCATAAACAAAAATTTGATTTAAATTTGTCTTAAATAGAACTGCCAAGAAATATAAACAGCCATGTAGACATCCAGCAATACGACATGAATAAAAAGGGCTTTACCAGAACATTTACTTTTTAGTCCTTGCAAGAGTCGATCAGTTTTCTCCGTCTGGCAAACACAATGCATGTATAAGTTGCAGTCACAACTACCACCGATACACCTATATACACGCAAGCCGTTGTAGCACAAACATACATATACCTGGGGGTAAAAGGAAACTGATAGAATGAGGAACAACAAATAATTGTCATTATTTTGATATGTTTTTCAAAATTTAAAGTTCAATGCACATAATTGGTCGAGGAATTCATGAAGCACCCATAATGCAGAGGAGCCAAACAATGTTGAGTTTTTAAGAACAATATGAAATTAATTGTCATCTTTATGGTAAAATATAGCGCCGTGGGTTATATTCTTTGGGTGTAAGTAAA